AAATAAAATAAAAAAAAAAGCACTTTAATTATAATAAGCTGGCAGATGTCATCAAAATCAGGATCATGATGTGGATGGTGTTTCTTTTGTTTGTAAATGCCATTATGTCAGTTAACGACAACCAATTACATAAATGAAATGCTGCCAGCGAGCTACGACTGATGTTTTTTTTTAAGCGCATGGTCAATTAGTATCACTGCCTGGGACGGCTTCACGGCACAGAGAGCTGGATCCAGAACAGGGCAGGTTTAGTCCAGCTTCACACTGAGTATTAATCGCCGGCTGGCGGTTTGCCTTTCCCATCTGTCAGGAGCAACGGCTATGCAAATTCAGATACCTAGGGTTTTAGCAAGCGAGAAGAAAACACCGCTTCCAGTCGGCAATCATTAATCATATCTTTAAACAGAGCATCATATTTATGTTGCATGAAAAATGAAACATTTGGCACAGCATAATGAAATCGAGATTCTAATAAACAGCTACATCAGGCTGCAATTTACCCCACCCGAGGGGTCATTATCAGCATTCTATATTAGTGGATAAAAGGGGCAAATCGTGGATCAAACCCAATTGTTATCTAATTTTACAGTTATGAATAATATGCAATGACTGCAACGACATTAACTCCCATGATGCTGGATAGACAGTCAGGCTTACTACCATTGTGAGTCCACGGCAGATAGATGGACAGAAGTTGGCAAAAATCTCTATTGATCGAATTTCCCAACAAACAAACCAACAAATAAATAGAATGTCATATTACCCCCCAGGATGCTCTTGTGCAATGGCTGACAGCATCCCACATGTTTATTAGGTCCACTTACAGGAATAGAGATGTCGCGAACTGTCCGCCGAACTGTTCGCGAACTGTCCGCCGGCGAACAATAGCGTGTTCGCGTTGGGCGAACATATCCGATTTCCGGTCCGCCCCCTATACGTCATCATTGAGTAACTTTGACCCGGAACCTCACAGCCAGCAGACACATTCCATCCAATCAGCAGCAGACCCTCCCTCCCATGTTGTGTGTGTAGCACAGGGGTGCCCAATAGGTAGATCCTTAGATGTTTTAAAACTACAAGTTCCATGATGCTTTGTCATTCTAAAAGCATTCTAAAGGCATGCAAAGCATCATGGTAGTTGTAGTTCTTCAACATCTGGGGATCTACTGTTTGGGCACCCATGGTGTAGCTTCCCAATCACATCAGAAGAGGAGTCTAGAGCATGGGCGTCCGCAGGAATTTTTCCGGGGGGGCATAATTGTAATGACATCCATGTTTGGTACCTTTTTGACAGTGTCATGAAAGGGAAGGGGCATAGCCATTATCACATAAAGCCAGGGTGAATAGCGTTTTCACAACTATGGTGTCAGGAATATATGTTTGTATTCCTGACACTATAGTGTTCCTTTAAGCAAATTAAAGGACGTTTCTGGTCACCATAACAACTTCATCTAAATGAAAATGCTATGATGCCAGGAAGCCCCTGGATGCTCGCTTTCCTTTAAGGGGTTAAATCACTCTCAAATGGTTTAACCCCAAAGGCTTCCTCCAGCTCTAGGTCGCTCAGTGGTATTTGGCTTCTGAAACAGAGTGTCAGAAAGTGCAGATTGACGTCAAGCATGGGTGCCGCTGATTGGCTAGAGTGGTCAGTTGACGCTCTAAGCCAATCGCTAGTTCCCAGTTCATAAAATATTTGTACTTTTTTATGAATGGGGAGCTACTGATTGTCTTAGAGTGCCAGCTGACCGCTCTAGCCAATCAGCAACAGCCCTACCCAACGGAACGGAACTGTGGTGTCCAGAATAAAGTGGAGGGTTCACTTAATTTGTCCTTCCTGCTCCAATCTCCTTTTCCTCTCCTTCATTTGACAGTCTTTTTTTTTCTTCTGACACTGTTTTCTATCCTTGGCCCTTTCTGCTCTTTTACCTTTCTGCTACTTTCTGCTTATTTTGCGCCCTTCTGCTCCTTTCTCATTCTGATCCCTTTCTGCTCCTTGCAGACCCTTTCTGCTCCCTTTTCTACTTTACCTTTGTGCTCCTTGCTGTCCCTTTCTCCTCTTTCTCCTACTTTACCTTTGTGCTCCTTATGATTCTTTCTGCTCCTTTACCTTTGTGCTCCTTGCTGTCCCTTTGTGTTCCTTCCTGCTCCTTGCAGGCCCTTCCTGCTCATTCTCCTACTTTGTTTGTGCTCCTTCTGCCCCTTCCAGCTCATTTCTAACCCTTTCTGCTCCTTCTACTTTACCTTTGTGCTGCTTTACCTTCCAGCTCCTTGCTGACCCTTCCTGTTCATTTCTATATATCTATAGGCTGCTGCCCCCCCAAATCTATGGGCTGCTGCCCCCCTCCCCAAATCTATGGGCTGCTGCCCCCAAATCTAAAGGCTGCTGCCCCCCCAAATCTATGGGCTGCTGCCCCCAAATCTATAGGCTGCTGCCCCTCCCCAAATCTATGGGCTGCTGCCCCCCCAAATATATGGGCTGCTGCCCCCAAATCTAAAGGCTGCTGCCCCAAATCTGCTGCCCCCACCCCCAAATCTATGGGCTGCTGCCCCCAAATCTATAGCTGCTGCCCCCTCCCTATAGGCTGCTGCCCCCAAATCATACTCCCAAATCTAGGGCTGCTGCCCCCAAATCTCTATAGGCTGCTAGGCCCCCAAATCTATGGGCTGCTGCCCCCAAATCTATGGGCTGCTGCCCCCAAATCTAATCTGCTGCTGCTGCTGCTGCCCTCAAATCTATAGGCTGCTGCTGCCCAAATCTATGGGCTATAAAGGCTGCTGCCCCCAAATCTATGGGCTGCTGCCCCAAATCAATCTGCTGCTGCCCCCAAATCCATGGGCTGCTGCCCCAAATATAAAGGCTGCTGCCCCAAATCTATAGGCTGCTGCCCCCCAAATCTATCTGCTGCTGCCCCCAATCTATAGGCTGCCCCCTCTCAAATCCTCCCCCCACTTACCTGATCTGTAAGCTGTCTCTGCCCCCCATCCCTCACTCCCCTGATCTGTAAGCTGTCTCTGGCTGCATGTGCTGTTCCCCTGCGGTTTCAATCAGCAGAGAGAAGCAGGGATAAGATGCAGCTTCCTATCCCTGTCTCTCTCCATACACAGCGCCACCTACTGGCCGGCGCCAGTATTGCAGTTTATTTTAAATCTCACATGAAAAATATCAGAACAAGCTGAAAAATCCAGAGGGGGGCAAGCACCCCCTCTTGCCCCCCCATGCGGACGCCCATGGTCTAGAGCCTATGTGGACCATGGGTTGGTTTGTTATTTTCCCACATTTAGTAGACATTTACAATGAGCACACGTCAGGCTGCTTTCTAAAAGTGGCGCAATCATTAGGAACTTTCCATTTGGTTTCCAAGTTGATTGCTCCACAACTAGAATTTTGGTTCCACAATTGCCCTTCTTAAATAACCCCATAGATTGGTGTGAGCTCCATCAAAATGCAACATTTCTTTTGATGACCTATTTCAATAAGCTGTCCAAACATTATTGACTATATTGAAATGTTCTCATGAGCAAAATTGAATATCTTTTAACTTTAGTTACAGAAAAAAAATAACACTTAGCATTTGAGAAATGAACATGAATAAGCATGTATCATGGAATATTTGGAAGAACATCCTCTGTTCCAGGTCCCATGTGATCGAACATAACCCCCAACAGCATATATAACGGGGTGCCAAATCCTCTCAAGAAGTGCCAACATTTAAGGCAAAAATCTAAACATTGTTATTAAATAAAGATGTTCAAACAAAAGCTAGATGTGAATTCTCAAACAAGGGACACAAAATATAAATCTCACCAGTCAATATTTCCAAAATGCACTTGCATTCCACTTCCGGGGTAACTCAGGCCAAGTCAGGGACCATAGGACATGGGCACTCTGCTCTGAGTTGACTTCTTATGGCCTTATCTAGGGGCTTTCTAACCCTAGTTGCAATGTAGTTGGCCACTGTGGCAGAACCAACCTCGCCACTGGCCACTGGAGGAGCCTGGTCGCCCGCCTCCTGCCACTGGACTATGGCCCTATGTTAAAAACCTTTTATGTTCCCTGCAGAAAGGCTTGTTCGTGCCTTTTCTCCTGCAAAGAAACGAACACCGGTTCATTCGGGACTTTCATTATGTGAACAATGTTACCCCAGATAGTTATGCCATGGAGCCCATTCGTATACTGAAAGACTGTATGAAAGACTTTGGCTCCATTGTGATTGAACTATGTGTATGTGATCTGAGCGCTATTCGGCAATAATGTGCGCTCAGATCTAAGCTATCTGGGGATATGTTGAATGTAAATGTTTTGTGTAATATTTGCAACATTGTATATTTTTCTGTCTTTTTGGTAACATGTGCTTAATGGAGTTTGCCTCTGTCCTTGGAGATAATTGGATTACTTCCCAATTATCTCCAGGACAGAGAGGAGGGATTATAATGCATTGTTTGAGTATTTAAATGTGTAAGTTTGTGATTGGTCTTTTTACCCTTTGTATCCCAGTCTTCCATCTGGTCCCCTCGGGGAGTGTCCACCAGGTGGAAGACCTGCATAAAAGCCAGGCAGGTAGCCCCAGTAAACCAGTTCTACTTCACCCTCAATTTGGAGTGCCGTCTCTTATTGGGGGAATCTGCTACAAGGGATTGCTATGCTTGTCATACTCCCTTGCTAAATCACTACTAAGCTCTTGTAAGAGCTTGTTCCTACCTTGCTCTGTGGAGGAGTATACGGTAGTTATGGTGCCTACTGGAGTGCTTGGAGCCCTCAGGAAGTGCTAGGAGCATCCTTCAACGGAGGTACCCAGTCGGGATGCCAGGTGATCCATTACAGCCACATGGTCAGTGGGATACCAGTCAGCCGAGCAAGGGTTATGCAGGGCATCAGGATCAAAAAGGGGTTCCCCTTGAAGGTCCAAATGGCGGATTCGTCTGCCTCCTGCCAAGCTTCGATAGCTGGTGGCAAAGCCACACTGCGTTCAGGAGAAAGGTCCTCCGAGTAAACCGGGTCGATGACATCGGACCCGTCCGAAACCTCCTCCGAGTCTGAATCAGAGTTGGACGAATCAGATAGGGCTTTTGCCCTCTTCCAAATCCGCACCGCTTTTGCCCGGTGGGTGGCTCTTTTACGTGGGAGCACCACGTCCTCAATATACAACCTGTCCGTCAAATTGTTTTTGGAGGTAATTTTTGCTCATGGTAGCATCCAGGAGCGAGTGGAACTATTCAGAGTTAATTTGCTCCTGGGACGCTTCCTCTACCCCACCAGGAATGGTAGGACTCGCGGAAACAGTGGGTCTGCAGTGTCTGCTGGGCTTAGCAGAGGCATTAGGAGCAGCAGCCTGCATATCAGAGGGATTTTGCATAGTGGGCAGCACAAATTAATATGTTAGCTTACCGAGTGTTCCCTCAGGAATGGCCCCTGGTGAACACCGGTAAACTTCCTGACAACCAAGCCAGCCAATTAGCTTGCGCCCCTCCTTGAACGAGCGGCGCGAGCGTCACAAAAAGCGCAGCAAAATTGGCAATCGCAATATGGCCTCTGTGATGCGCGTGAGCTAGCCACGCATGCGCGGGGGGCACTGATAGCGGTTTAGACACAGACAATTAAACACAGACAATTACAGTACACAATATAATAGAACCATACAGTATAATAGCAAAATACAACTCAAATCTGCAGAGCAAAAATTATGAGGTTCTTAGCTGAGGCAGCAGCAAAGAAAGAGGGAGTGGCTCAGGTCACATGGGAGTATATAGAACAAGGACTGCTCCCATTGGTTGAATATGTTATATGGTTAACCATTTAAGGGGTATTTGTTTTGTTTTTATATTAATACCTTAATATCCTTAGTATCCTTTATTTGCTGCTGAGGAATAAAGAAAGAGAGAAAGCCTAATATGAGCCTCCACGTCCTTTAATAAAATTATAATATTATTATATTAATAAAGGGTGAGGAACAAAGTTTCACTTTTATAAGAAATTGTGTGTGTGAAATTAATTTGCACTTTAAAAATTACATTTAATTGTACAGCAGTTTGTTTTAAAATTCCTGACTAATATTTGCTTCTCCATGAGTATATTGACACACAGTATCATCTAGAAATTCAAAGAAACGTTTACTTTTCTGTAGAGTGGGGAGCTGGAAAATATACTATGCAAATCACAAACTCTGATTTACTGCTGATATCACATGCACTCTGCGGCCTTTTATCATCCAGTATCTCTGCTGATTAGGGTTGTAATAGAAGTGCATTTTATTACAGTGCATGGAAATGGACCCAGATTCCTTGATGAGTGAGAGCTATAGAGATATGGATGGATGGATGGATGGATGGATAGATAGATTATATGTCACAACATCTAAGTACCTTGAGAGAGTTAGACAGCTTTATAGTACCCAACTGGAATAATAACCTGGCCAAGAGAAAAGTTGGTATCCATGGATGTCAAGATCCAAAAACTTCTCACTATGAATGGAGGATTCAACCTGAAATTCGGCACCCAGAGACTGTACACCAGCCAGAAAGAAAGAGGTCATGGTCTGATGAGTGTCAAAGCCACAGTCCTGGATGAAACACAGAGCATCACGAAGATTGCTCCCAAAGATCAACTGCTAAAGGAGTTATCCATAGAAGGAAGATCCATAAAACAGGGGTCACACCATACTGGACCCAAGGTGCAGACTGTGCAAAGAACCCTATGAAATAATCCAGCACATAGTAGCCAGGTACAAGATACACTGAGAGTTGCCGGGATTGTGTACTGAAATATCTGCACAGTATATGGGAGATACCACAAAAAAGGGCAGTTGAGAATGATAAGTCTTGTGGAACTTTCAGATCCAGACAGACAAGCAAGTATATTAGCCAACCAACCTAACATCATGGTGGTAGACGAGGAATAGAAGACTGCAGTGGTGGTGGATGTGGAAATACCAAGTGACCATAACATCAGTAAGAAGGAATATCAGAATATGGACAAATACCAAGGACTGAAAGAAGAACTAGAAAGGATATATAAAGTGAAGGCAGTAGTAGTCCCAGTTGGGACAGGAGCACTCAGGGCTTTGACTCCAAAGTTGGGAGTGACTTTCAGCAGATTGGTTGTGGGAGATCGCTGTCCAAAAAAGTGCAATTCTAGGAAGTGCTTTACCTATATTCCTATCTGCTCTATCCAAAACATGGATAGAGCATAAGGCATAATTTAGCTCCGAAATCCTGCTTTTATGGTGTTTCAAGATGTCACAGTCTTTGAAGAGGCTGACTCACCTGCTGGTCTGTAACAGACACAACTGTGTTACGTACAATGGAAGAAGTGGAGTCAGAGACACATTGTACGATGTTGGTATGAAATGCACTTATGTAAAAGATGAGCAATACTCATTTACTTAAAGGTCACACTCTTAGTAAAGGCTGATACCTCCTCCACAACATCTGAATGTTTTGCTTTTCATCCAGCGAGATCAGGAATTAAATATCGGTCCCTACCTAATTTAACACAACAATATCAACAACAAGTTGGTTCCATGAGATCAAAGTTTTTTTTTTTTTTTCTTTTTTCAATGCTTGTCAGGGGGTCTGTCACAAGATTCTGAAAAATTTGGGAACCATGGGCAAATAGTGACCTGGCAGATTAAAAGAGGCCAGACAGGTCCCTGATGGATAAACTTGCTGAATGTAAAGGAGTAATGCCCCTTATGGTAACATAAAGACTAGGAATGTATAGCAGTCTGCATGTGGACGCCTCACCCTGCCGGTCCTACCATAACTCTTCCTTTTTTCTTTTCACTTTCTCTCCTGTCTTTCTGTCCTTTACTCCCTGAAAGGGGAGGTGGTATAAGACCTATATAAACACCCAAGATAGGACCCAAAGGAAAGACCAGGGTCCATGTCCATGAAATATGGACGTTATATGTACTTACCTTCTAGGGACATAGTTAACTACATACAACTATGAATGATACATTTCACCACAAAATTAGCCTGTTTATTGTTTATGTTGCTAGTTTATATCATATAAAACTGTGATATGTCTTGACAAACCGAACATTCAGGAGTACCTGCTAATGCCTAATGTAAACGGTATGTGTAATTGAAATCACAGGCTTCATTGATTTATGCATCACCTGTACTGTATAATGTGCATATGACAAGGCTGTCACATATAAATAAAGTATTTTTTTTAAAAAAAGCCATTAATCAACAAAGCATTCATTATTTTTTTTATTAACAATTTAGTAGATAAAAGTTGACTGTTTGCTGACATAAAAGTTGAATCTGATGGACTTTAGTTTCTTTTTCAAACCTAGATTACTATGTAAACCTCAACGAAAACTTGCGTGTATTTGTTTTCTGCTTGTATTATTTGGGGAGTAAATAAAAAAATAAAAATAAAAAAACAGCTTGCAAAAGCTGCAGACTAAAAAAAAAAAAGAACCTGTCCAGCATTGTTAATACCATCTGGCAGTAGATGTGTGCAGCAAAAAATTACCAAAAGATTTTCATGGTCAACCTTCATCTTTATCATCTGCATGGAACCTACTACCACCTCCATTGATAGCGACCACCGCATAGTGTTAACCATTTTGAAATAAAGCATGTTTTCTAGTTACTTGCTATAGCAACTCCTCCAGGAACCAGTAGATCAGCAGATGTTCTTCACCAGTGATCTTCCGAGTTACTCTTAGTCTTTCCATACACCTGTCTAAATTTCACACAATTCTTTTGAAAACGACTAAAACCATGCTTATAAATAGGCTTTAGAGCTCTAGCGGATATCTTTCTGACACTAGAGGGCACCTTCACTCCTGCAACTGAGTCAGACTCTGTTATGTGAAGTTGGGCGTCCTTACGTGTTGCATAAGGAAATCAAACGTAAGCGCATGCTTAGGTAAGCACTCGATTGAAAGAAATGACAGAGAAAAATATTTCTATGGTTCTATATTTAGCGTATATCTAAGAATGCGTTAAATAACACATATTCAGTAAGACTTCTCGAGTGTACAGTGTTCTGATCCAGTATGTTTCTTCACGCATGCGCAGTCACTGTCGCCGCACTACACGGCGTCAGGGCACAGACTGAGGTGAAACACCTGCACTGGGTAAGTCATCATATCATTACACTTTTTATCTTATAAATGCACTGTATTTAAACCTATACACATCTTGATAAATACCTGCGGGTTGAAACGTTGATTTTCTTCATTTGATACAATATAACTGAATTTTTTTGAAAAATCCAATGAGAGCTCTCATCTCCTCATTTATTATATACCCTAACACTGTGCAGCACCGTGGTTATTTTGATCCAAATCAAGTAGAGGTAAAGTACCAGAATTTACATTTTTTGTTATATATGTAATACATATATACACTTATTGGAGGTCAATAATTGACAATCTTAACCTTTAACTCCTTAGTGACCAGACCGCTTTTCAATGTTCTTACCGTTTGGGACCAGGGCTGTTTCTGCGGTGTTTGTGTTTAGCTGTAATTTTCCTCTTACTCATTTACTGTATCCACACATATTATATATCATTTTTCTAGCCATTAAATGGTTTTAAATATGATTTACTGTAAAAATAATTATAAAATATGATGAACAAATTTAAACACACTTTTTCTAACTTTGACTCCCAAAATCTGTTACGCATCTACAACCACCAAAAAACACCCATGCTAAATAGTTTCTAAATTTTGTCCTGAGTTTAGAAATACCCAATGTTAACATGTTCTTTTTTTTTGGAAAGTTATAGGGCTATAAGTACAAGTAGCATTTTGCTATTTCCAAACCATTTATTTTCAAAATTAACGCAAAATCACATTGTAACACTGATATCTGTCAGGAATCCCTGAATAACCCTTCACATGTATATATTTTTTAAAAGAAGACAACCTAAGGTATTAAACATGGGGTATTTTGACTATTTTCATGCTACCATTTTACCACCAATCTATGCCAAATGTAAAAAAAAAAAATGATTGGTGATTTTTTTGACACACATAACAACATGTACTGAGAACTTTAAGGGTTACTGCCAAAGAACACCCCAATATGTGTTCAGCAACATCTCCCGAGTACAGTGATACCACCCATGTATAGGTGTGTCGGGTTCTCCTGGGGCTAAAAGGCCTTATTTGGAGGGTGTTCATTCCAGTTTTCCAATTTGAAATTTTCACAGCTGGTCATCACGCACCCATGTCCTATTTGGGACATGTTTGAAGGTGGCCAATGTAATTTACCCCCATCAAACCATATATTTTTGAAAAGTAGACATCCCAGGGTATTCAATATGGGGTATATCTAGTATTTTTTAGTAGCCACTTAGTCACAAACACTGGCCAAAATTAGTGTATTTGGCCAGTGTATTTTTATATTAATATATATTAA